AACCCTAAACCCTAACCCTGAACCTACCTTTTTGGGTGAAATTCCGGCCTGGACCTCATTTGCTGCATGGTCATGCTGCTGCGCCGCCCCTCCTGGCTGCTCGTTGGAGTTTTAGGCCTGGGTTCAAGTAAAGGGCTTAGGGTTTAGGGTTTCGGGTTTGGGCTTTAGGGTTTAGGGTTTAAGGGTTGGCTTAGTTAGGGTTTTAGCACTTTGGGGGTGTTTGTAACTTTCTGGTGCGGAACCCTTCGCGCAAACCATGAGCCCCGCAGCCTGCATGGGATTAGTGCTTCGGGTAGTATCTTGGAGCTCTGCGAATGGCTCCGGCTTTGGGTGCACCTTCCGCTTGCACAATTGGCAATTTTCATAGGCTCCGGTTGGTTTAGGTCAGGGTGTGCTGCTGAACCACGGGCTGTGGGCGAATGAGAACTTGGATGGCCCGTTGCGGGCTCCCTATTTGGTTTAGGGTTTAGGGTTTCGGGATAAGGGTTCAAGCTTGAAGCGGCAGCTCATTATCCAAAACCCTAACAACAGCTATATCCCGGGGTCGTTTTCCGACCTCCAACCCTTTTGGACCGTAGAACCCTTAAACTCCTACCCTAAACCCTAAACCCTAAACCCCAAAACCTAAACCCTAAACCCTAAACCCTAAACCCCTTCCGCCAGCCGAAAAGCTTCTGAGCGGCTCTAATCTCCAAGATCAGCCCTGAAAACTCAGCACTAGAAACCCAAAGAAGCCCTAATACAGGGGTTTAGGGTTTAGGGTTTAGGGTTTAGGGCTTAGGTCCTAAATAACTATCCATGCTATCTTAGGCGCTCCTTACTGTAAGCTTAGCCATCTAAATCTTAAGGCCCCCCAAATTACATCCCCAAAGCATCAGGCTGGAATCCGAAAGCCCTGCTTTGCAAAGGCTCCGGTGCCGGTCTCCTGCATCACGTCCGCCTCCACCGAAATCTGGGCCGAGCGCCGAGGTTTTCTTTGGGGGGGAAGCGGGTGCATCGTCAGGCTTAGGACTTAGATGTTTAGGGTTTAGGGTTTAGGGTTTCGACACACACACACACACACACTCGCACAAGGCTGGCATGGCAATAGGGTTTAGGGTTTAGCGTTTAGGGTTTGGGGAGATGTAGGGTTTGGATTTCAGGGTTTAAGTTGTTTTACGGGGTCTAAGTCTGGGGTTTGTTGGGGGCATGATCAAGGGGTACTCTGAAAACACACAGCACCCGTACCTAGAAGAAGATCGGTGCGCCGCCTCTTCTGCACGTCGAGATCCCTACATGCAGAACCACAAACCAAAAACCCGGAACCCTAACAACACCGTCTTCAAAAGTGCAGGAAGAAGGACGCCTGGGAGCTGAAGCGCGGGACATCAGGGAGGTTGAAACAAGGAGATTGAAAAGCGAGGATGCAAGTTCGGGTCTCCGCGGCCGGGTCTTCACAGCGAAACCCAGAACAAAAAAAAACAAGCAAAACGCGCGAAGAAAGCTCCGAAACCCTAAACCCTTAAAGGCACAACCGCCATCCTTAACCTCAAAACTCTTCTTATCAACAAGCCGTCCATGACCCCTGAACCCGAAACCAAAAAAACTCCAAACGGCCGTTTCTACGCTAGTAAAAACCCTGATTTCAAGGTTCGGGGTTTTGGGGGTTTAGGGTCTCAGGCTTTTGGGTTTACCTTTAGTGCTCAAGGTAGGGCATAGCTCGGACCGCTAAACCCACGTCATCGAAATGCACAAATCAGCCGACATACATCGTGTAAGCCGTGTGTGAGCATGGCGGAAGTGGCGGGGGTGCTTGTTGTCTGGGCGTGGCTTCGGCAAGAACCAATAAAACCTGGGATGACTCTTCACTAGGGTTTTGGGCGCAGGCGTAGGCCACGGGGCCAGATAAACCTGCGCTACACGTAGTGTTGTGAAACAAAAACACAACGGCGCCAGGAAGGATCCCAAACAAGAACCTTTCCGCACCTGACACATCACAACAAAAGACTGCAGGGTCTTCCTACAGCCTTCAGAGGCTTTAGGGTCTACCTTAAGAACCCAAAACCTACTTTTTTGTAGGGTCCCTATAAATCCCATATTAGGGTTTATAATAAGAACCTACAAAAAAGTGGGTTTTGGGTTCTTAGGGTAGGGATCTCAACCCAACTGGAACACCATCACCCTTCCGCCCAGTTGCAAAACTTTGACGATCCCTATCACTCCCTGCAGTACTCTTCTACGGACCCTTTTCTGCACAGACTGCGGTGCCAGCCACACCCTGAACCCTTACCCTTAAGAAAAGCCCTAAGCCCTACTTACAGTTTAAAATACGATGTACCAAAATACACCCAACACTGCGGGTCCCTCCCGCCGACCCGTCCGAGGCCCTCGCCCCATGGAGACTGCAGGAGGAGATTGCACGAGCCATCGCCTCAAAATGCAATAGACTAAGGTTTATGACTCAAGGCTTTAGGGCTATATAGGGTTTAGGGTTTAGGGTTTTACAGGGTTCGGCCCTGGATAGGTCGGACCTGTTTGAATATTCATCTTCTCGCGACAGGGCGCCTGTGCTTCAGGAGCCCGTACTTGACGTACTGATGTTTAAACGACTGGTCCGGACCAAGAGCACAGTTCTCGCTGAATCAGAACTGGGAGTGCCGAGATCCGGATATAGGGTGTGAGCTCAGTTTGGCTTTAGGGGATTAAGCTTAGGAGTTCTTGAGAAGTAGTGTAATCGGGACAGCTGCACATGCCAGCAAGCAGAGAGGACAGGAAAGGGTCGCTACCTTTGCGGCGGACAAAATTTTCGGCACCTCATAGGCGCAGATGCGGAAGGGTTTGAGGTTTAGAGCTGACCTGAGGTCGTGCAGGTTTATGGCTACCAGTACATGTAAGTACAGGTATATGTGACCTAGTCGGGTCGACTGTAGAGAAATCAGTCACCTGTGCCGGCAAGGATTGATAAACTTCGAAATACCCATCCATTGCAGGAAAGCCCTTGCTTCCACATTGAGTCTAGCACCTCAGGTCTTGCATCGATGCACTGAACTCAATCTTCTTTCATGCGTAAAACGGTCAGAAATTCAAGTACCACGACTAGCAACCCTCAGCTTTATGTATAAGCTGCTCTAGTTATTGATCGGTATCTCTATAGGACCATAAGGGAAATCATAAAGCTTCCCAAAGTGCCAGCTAAAAGGCTGCTTATTCAAGAACTGCCGATGCCCTTGACTACGATTGCTGCTTGCCCAGAGACTCCAATACCCCTTAGTTAAGGAATATACCTTAAATCATGTTAAGGCTCCTACTATAATTTCAGGAATATTCCTTAATTACGGGATATTGGAGTCTCTGGGTGACGTGTTCCGCTATCATCAACTCGAGCCCCGCACGGGCTGCCCCGACTCTTCCACCGACTGGAGCGGGTGTTGGCTTGTCGTGTCTGGGGTTCAAGGCTTGAGGTTTCGGCACTCACAACTGGGACAGGCCTGGTTATGTTTAGGGAATTTAGGGCTTACACAGGGTTTAGTCTGAGGGTTTAAACCGGGCTTAAGGATTCAGGTCCCTAAACCCAGAACCTAGAGAGGCTTAGGGTTGCCGCTTAACAGTTGGAACAAGCGTTCGGGTGTATGAGTGAGTGAGTGAGTGAGTGAGTGAATGAGTGAGTGAGCGAGCGAGCGAGCGAGCGAGGGAGTGAGTGAGTGAGTGAGTGAGTGAGTGAGTGAGCGAGGGAGTGAGTGAGTGTGTGTGTGTGTGTGTTTGTTTATTTGTTTGTTTGTGTGCGTGTGTTATTGGTGTGCCTGTGTGTTGGTGTGTTGGTGTGTTGGTGTGTTGGTGTGTCAGTGTGTTCGTGTGTTGGGGTGTTGGCGTGTTGGCGTGTTGGCGTATTGGCGTGTTGGCTTGTGGGCGTGTGGGCGCGTGGGCGTGTGGGAATGTGGGCGTGCGCACGTGCTTCTCAGGGCAGCGGGTTACTAA